TAGGTCGTGGTTATTTCACCTTTTGAGCCGGGTGTTTTCCACGTAAAAATACTTGTGTTCTTTACTTTTTACATTTATTATTCCGCAACAGTAGCAGAAGGAACACATAGAAGAACCAGGTCCTTCCATAATCAGTTCAAGCAAAAAATTGGTCACCACACAAATCACCCCCCCTCTTGTGTGGTATTGAAGTGTAAAACATCACTTTATTATCGTGTTCATAGACGATTTTTTGGTATACTCTAAGAGCAAGGAAGATCATGCAGAACACCTCAGAATAGCCTTGCAGACCTTGAAGGAAAATGAGCTTTATGCCATGTTTTCAAAATGTGAGTTCTGGTTGAAGTCAATGGCATTCTTAGGCCACGTGGTATCTAGTGAAGGCATAAAGTAGACCCTCAGAAGATAGAAGCAGTCAAGAACTGGCCTAGGCCGACAACGCCAACCGAAATCAGGAGTTTCTTGGGGTTAGCTGGCTACTATAGAAGGTTTGTAGAGGGGTTTTCCTCACTTGAAGCTCCATTAACTAAGTTGACTCAGAAAGCAGTTAAGTTCCAGTGGTCAGACGCTTGTGAGCAGAGTTTTCAAGAGTTAAAGAAGAGGTTGACCACTCCACCTGTGTTAACCTTGCCGACAGGTTCGAGTGGGTTCACAGTGTATTGTGATGCCTTTAGAGTTGGTCTTGGTTAAGTTCTTATGCAAAATGGAAAAGTTATTGCTTATGCTTCCAGGCAGTTAAAGAATCATGAAAAGAACTACCCCACACACGACTTGGAGCTTGCAGCAGTGGTGTTTGCATTAAAGATATGGCGACACTACCTTTATGGCGAACATTCTGAAGTGTTTACAGATCACAAAAGCCTCCAATACATTTTCAAGCAAAAAGAATTAAATTTGAGACAGAGAAGGTGGCTCGAGCTATTGAAAGATTATGATATCAATGTCCTTTATCACCCCGGCAAAGCTAATGTGGTAGCAGATGCACTTAGTAGGAAGTAAATGGGTGTCTTGGCCCATCTTGCAGTGCAAAGGCGAACTTTGGATCGAGAAATTCAAAACCTGGCAAATGATAGAATTAGACTGGATGAGACCAAGGAAGGAGGTATAGCTGCTTAGGCCTTAGCGCAATCCTCTTTAGTTGCGCATGTTAAGGCTAAGCAAGACGAAGATTCGTAGTTAGTGAAGTTAAAAGAAGGAGTTAGAAACAAAGAAATCACTGCTTTCACCCTAGGAAGTGATGGAGTTTCGAAGTTGAATGATCGGTTATGTGTGCCTGATGTACATGGGCTTAGGAAGTCCATAATGGAAGAAGCTCACAGTTCGAGGTATTCTATCCACCCAGGTGCTACCAAAATGTATCTGGACTTGAAAGAGTTGTATTGGTGGAAAGGCATGAAGAAGCAAGTAGCAGAACATGTAGCTAAATGTTTGAATTGCCAGCAAGTCAAAGCCGAGCATCAGAGGCCTGGTGGCCTAGCTCAAGATATAGAAATACCACAGTGGAAATGGGAGATGATTAATATGGATTTCGTAGTAGGTCTACCTCGCACATACCGTGAGCATGATTCAATTTGGGTTATTGTAGACCGACTGACAAAGTTCGTGCATTTTCTACCAGTAAAGACGACAGATTCCGCAGAGTAGTATGCGCAGTTGTACATTAAAGAAATAGTCTGATTGCATGGTACTCCAGTTTCAATCATATCTGACAGAGGCCCTCAGTTCATGGCGCATTTTTGGCAAGCATTTCAGAAAAGATTAGGTACCAAGGTCAATTTGAGCACCGCTTTCCATCCACGGACCGATGGCCAGGCAGAAAGTACCATTCAGACTCTTGAAGATATGATGCGAGCATGTGTTATAGATTTTGGAGGTAATTGGGATGATCACTTGCCACTTATAGAATTTGCTTACAATAACAGCTATCAGGCCAGCATTGGTATGGCTCCTTATGAAGCGCTGTGTGGGCGAAGATGTAGGTCTCCAGTGGGTTGGTTTGAACCAGTAGAGGTGCCATTGATTGGTCCAGAGTTTGTTTGTGAGGCCTTAGAGAAAGTTCAGCTAATCAGAGAAAGACTGAAAGCGGCTCAGAGTCGTCAAAAGTCCTATTCTGACAAGAGGCATCGTGACTTAGAGTTCATGGTTGGTGACAAGGTATTTTTGAAAGTTTCACCAATGAAAGGAGTTATGAGGTTTGGTAATAAGGGGAAACTTAGTCCTAGATTTATTGGACTTTATGAGATTATAGAAAAGAAGGGAAACGTGGCTTATGAGCTAGCGTTGCCCGTTGAGTTGTCTTCTGTTCATCCTGTCTTTCATGTGTCTATGCTTAGAAAGTACATTCATGATGAGTCGCATATAATACCTGCCGATATCATAGAAATTAAAGAAGGCTCGACTTATAAAGAGGTACCCACTTTTAATAATTAACAATATTTGCCTAGCTATTTCTTTGCTTACTTAGAGAACTGGCCAGGAAATCGCATGTCCTGAGCAGTGCGTCAGTTTATCAGTAGAGGCTTCATAGACACAGTCAGTGGGTTAAGATTCAGATGTTTTTGATAATAACTTAGCAGTATTTCATTGGATACTACAAATAAAATTTTGAAGTTGGCTTGTTTTAGATATTTAAATTATTTAAAGGTATTTGGTTGCAGTAGTGCCTTGTGGCATATAAAATTTGAAGTTATAATAGATTTGATAAGCGCAGATAGTTTGCTCGGTCATGTTTAGTGATCGGGTGCCGGTCCCGGCTTGTTCAGAAAATGGATCGTGACATCTTAGCTCTCATAAATTGAGAATTTCCTTTTGTTTTATTTGGTCCGCAATATTAGAATCTGCATTCCAACTAATTCAAATTTGTGTAAGAGCATTAAAAAAGTAGTGTCTTTAGTTTCTACCATGATATTTTCATCCTCACAAGTCACAACTCAAACTCAAAATAATTAAGGGTAAAAAAAATTCTATTTATCCCACCACAATCTATGGTGATAAAGTTGCTTCATTTTTAGCTTTTTTTACATATTTAAGAAATTACAGTATGTAATTCTTTTTGGGAAAACAGTGTAATAATAATATCTAAAGATGTTTAGTCTATTTTAGTATATTAATTTCATCCTATGGAACGTCAAAAAATGCTTAAGGCTTCAATGATTATTTTTCAACTCAATAATGACGCAAGTTAAAAATAGAAAGAAAAAAAAAATGTTATCCGAGGCGGGACGGATTAAATTTTTGCAGAGTAATGGCCTAAACCGCCTATAGGTAGTTCTTTCAAAATATTACTATGCATAATTTGGTAAATATCGAATTACCGTATCGAAATCGAAATTTTAGTTTTTAGTATTTGGTTTAAGTTTTAAAAAAAAATGGTATTAGGTACAGTATTTGGTATTTTAAAATAAAATATCGAAATACCGATACCGTACCAAAATAAATACTCGATCCGTTTCAATTTAGATGAGGTACTTTGATTCAGCATGGAGTTTAAGGAAAAAAAAAGACTTTTAAAATTTGTGGCATTAAAAGCTTAAGGGGTAAAAGCTTTGTGAGGCCATGACATTTGTGTGGTTATAAAAGCTTCTCATTAAGGGTAAAATGGGTAAAATGAAGAGTTTAAAATTGAATTATTTTCAAATTTAGAAATGTGTCATTTATTTTAGAACAAACTAAAAAAGAAAGTACCTCATCTAATTTGAAACGGAGGGAGTATTATATTACACAATACACATATTATTAATTATACATAAATATAAAAATCTGAAATTTTACTTTCCTTTATTATCTAAGTTCATCAATTCACTCAAAGCAAGTAACAAGACATTCCTTTTGTCAACAAATATTTTCAGTTTTGTACTTTTGAGTACTTTAATTAAGAATATTACAATATATGGCTCTATGCGGTAGTTTGTATTCAAACCGAATAAACCTAAGTTACCGAACCGAATAAAGCAAAATCGGAAGGAGAAACACCGAACCATACCGAATTTAATTAGGTACGGCATTAGTATAGCATTTTAAAAAATCAAATACAAAAAATACCAAACTAAAATGTCTAAATATCGTACCATAACAAACACCACTAACATTGAGTCATGACTTGTCAATATAAGTACCTTTGGGTTGCACAGTGATTTCACAGTAGCAAGGTACATTTCACATGACACAAGAGGTAATGGATGTACAGATCTTGATTTAACCCCTAGGCCTATGGACAGGCACGTAACATCTTTTTGGACTATAGACATATTGTAAATTCGCTCTAAAGATAAATTTTTAATAATCGAGAAATTTTTAGATGTTTCCAGCTTTAAAACTCAATAGATAATGAACTCTCAATTCTTTATTCAAGTAAATGAATTATCATTTTCTTTCTTTTTGTGGATAAAAAAGTATTGCTTTTAACTGCGAAACTTGGTGGATAATTGATCATCCCTCTATTTTTCTTACTTAAATTCTATACTTAATTCACAACAGGATTCGAACTCGTGACTCATGGGGCTCTAGGAATCACCAATGGCGAAGCTAGTAATTTCCTCAAGGGTGTTCAAACTTAAAAAGGTGAAAAAAATTCTCCGATAAAGAGTGTTCAATATATGTTATATACCTCTAAAACCTAATATTTTACCTATATACACAGTGTAAAGTTAACGATAAAGGGTGGTCAGTTGACCATCCTTTGTGATATGTAGCTTTGCCCCTGGGAATCACCCTTTCATGAAACATGCAAACACAGAAAAGATCGATACTAATCAAGCAGAAAATCCAGTAATACACATAATTGGAACATGAAATGTTGACCTGAAGTTGGTATAACTGTGATTTTGTAATTCATTACTTTGGTGATTAATAAGGAAATTTAGTTAAAAAAAGAAGTTGCTGCAAAAAAGGCATGTCGGGAGATCGAGATCGAGAGAGAGTCCAATTTAAGAATTGTCTAAGTCTTGGTAGGCAGAGTTACTCGTTACCTATGCTGGGTGGAAATAACAGAAACCCCCGACTAGTCGAAGTGTATGCATACTAGCCCTGACACCACTGTCATACAAAAAGAAATTCAAGATCCAGTACACTCGTTATCAGTTGAAGTAACTAACATTAACAACAATTTTAACCTTTCAGCACTTGAAAGTAAGATTTGTAACACTCAGCTAGCTAAACATACACATTTAAGGCTTAAGAGTTGTATCTTTACTTGAGTCGAGGCGAATGGAATATGCAGTAATGCACATATTGGACTATGAAATTCGCCACAAACAGGCGAGTCAAGACAGAGGGCGTGTATCAGTAATGGTTACTGATCAGTTAAAAGTCACTAGCATTAGCTACAAGATTCATCCGTCAACATTTCGAAGTAAGATTTGTAGCGCTGAGCCAAACCAAACATACCAAGTGTACCTCCGGTGTGAAGCATCACCACTTTCGCATTTCCCTCCTGACCAAGTTGAGTTGCCAATTCCCAAGCAGCCAAAGTGTAAACCGGATCGACAAGGATACCTGTCTCTTGTGCAATCTTTTGACATATTTCAACTTCCCCCTTCAGTATATTGCCAAATCTGTAAGACAACAAGGAGAAGAAAAAACTCCATTAGAGATTCAGTTCCACTTTGTCCAATTCTAAAATGAACAATAGTAGCCATCAGTAGCATGGAGCAAGGATTTTCACTAAGGGGTGTCAAAATATAAAGAAGTAACCACACGAAAAGTTAAGAGGATACAACTAATAGCATATATACATAAATCAAGAAAATGTACCTAGCTACACAGTGTATTTTTCCGACGAAGGAGTGTCAATTGACACTCCTTGGTATACGGTGGCTCCGCCAATGGTAGTCATGATGTAAACATGGATATATAGTTGTTTGTCAACATGGAGAGGGTAGTATGGGAAGAAAAAATCTAGCTGTGTGATGCATGTTTTAGCAAACAGAGGCGGGTCTAGAGTGGATTTAGTGTATTCAGCTGAACTCATTGCTTTCGACTCGAATTACGTATACATACGCAAAGAAAATTAAAATCTCAACATATAATAAGATCACACTTATTCAATCCACTTACTAAAATCTTGGATTCGACTATGGTGCTAGGCACCAAATACCTGGGAATTTTTAGGGTGAGGAACATCAGCTATTACTGCCTCAAAGACAAGATGAAGGGGCAACAAAAAGCAAGAATTTCTTATATCATAGAAGAGGACAAGAAGTATTAATTACTTTCTTGGAGAGCTGCGTTCGGCCCACTGCACAAGTCCAGGTTCCAATCCACTCAGTGCTTGCTCACCAAGATGAAGAGTAAAGCATTTACGGAATTCAGAAATTAAACTTTCCTCCTTTTTCTGATATCCGTCAATCGTGTCAGCCAGCATAACTGCAGTGACCTCCCAAGGGAGCCTAATAGTAAGAGAGTCAATTTGACTAACCTTCGATATGATAAATGCAAAAAAAATGTGATGCATCAAGGTTAAATAGAAGAACCTCACCCTAAGCACACTGCTCCAATCCCTAAACCAATAGCAGTTGTCCCTGTTCCAGCATCTATAATAATTTCCAGTGGTTGTTCTTTCCCAAATAGATGGTCCCGAGACAAGTACTCAACAAGGCGTAAAACACCTGTAGGAATCATTTAGTTGACATATATAACTGAAGTTATAAAGGAAACACACTAGTAGCTGAATCTTTAAATAACTAAAGATATAAATAGTTAGATAATTATGTAACCGATAACGTATTCTTGTTCTTTGGGAACAAAGTTAGGAAAAAATAGGAAAAATTTCGACATGTACCAATATTTTAGGCTCATCATTAAGGGAGTGACCCTTCGACGACATGAATAAAGACAAACTACTGAAGCATTCTTTTTAAGATTTCATCAGCGATTACTTCTTTTCCACAAGACACATGTATAGCATGTTTTCTAAAATGTACACCGTCAAACCACATATGTTGGCCGACATGTAACAAGAGATCTCTTATTAACTTTCACCACAAGTAACAAAGAAATTACCTAGCAATGCAGCAGCATCTCCAGCCCCTTCATTAACAACAACTACCTTCTTACTACTTTTTGTAAGAGCATTGACGTGTGAAGAGTGTTCACTGCATCCATTAGAGGATAAAGAAGCCTCTAAATCAGCAAGTGAGAAAACTAAGCCATCATTTCCTGCAACAAGACCCGCATGCTTTAAGAGCATCTCCTCCCTCCTAGCATATAGAGATCTTGGAACATATCTAACATTTCCATATAATGTTGAAATTAGATTGTAACCCGTCAGAGTTGCTGGCTGTTCTCCTCGGAGAAGTAAATGTGATTTTAATCCCCTTTCAGCGCATGACACAGCTGCATTACAAGTAAACAAAATGCTTAAAAAACAGTGTTATCTCTATCCAGGAACGACACAAGTAAAATCTGAAAAGAAGAAGGAATGAAATTAATAAATGTGGCAGTTAACCTGTTGCATGACGTACCAACAGCTGCAGCATGCGCACTTTGACAACCTCCGCATGTGACCTAAAATTTTAAAAATATCACAATGAGATGCAAATTTCTTTTCCACATACCTTAAGCACGAAGACACTAATTATTGGGGTGCTTTTAGATCATGGAGAGAGCCAAGAAGCTTTCTGATCAACTAGCTCCTTCGACATTCATTTTTGTTCTGCTCGAGTGGGCGAAGAAGTAAGAGAACGTACACCATAAGCTAGAGGTCTAGAACGGATGTAAGGAGTCGATAGGGAAAGATATTACCAGACTTCGCTAGCTTTTGTTACTTTTTGGACCAATGTTGTCAAAAGTGAAAAGCTCTAAAAAGCGCTCCGGGTCTATTGGGGATTTAAGCACAAAGCACAATTAAAATGGGGGCTTTAGTTAAAAAAAGGCGCAATGAATAAAAAGATAAATATATATGTAATTCAAGAAAAAAGAGTAACAAATTCACTCTTAATGTTTTACTTAACAACTAATACACTTATTTGTTGATTATTATTGTTATTAAGTACTGCCTGATTCAAGATAGAACTCATGGGCAATAAGGCACACGCCTTAATGCGTTGCTTACACTGAAGCGCTGCTTAAGCGAGGTGAAGCGCGCTCCCTAAGCTTTTCTGTGCTTCAGGGCTTAATCGCACCTTAAATGAGACTTTGACAAGACTGTTTTGGACATAGTATTGGCCCTCTCAAAAATATCACAATCTTTAGAATCCATGTTGACACGAACTACAGGAATCTACACAACACCAAATAAAAAACTTCAATGGATTGAGTTAGGTATAGCTCTAAAATGAAGCCTTGTCAATTTTTTGGCTCCCCTTTTATTAACATGATGAACAGGCATGTTTTCTTTCTGTTTTTCCTTTTCGATATCTCTTTTCAAACTTAATGAACTGCCTTTACGTTTCGTACGCCCTGTAACTTAGACTACTCAAATCTTCGTAATCAATATGCTTTTACCACACGGGGAAATACAAAATACAAGAACCACCAAGCTTTTTAATGAACTTCAATTCCATGTTTATGACTTGCCAAATATTAACACTAAGCAATGTACACAATAAAAAGATATAGCAATTTAGAAAAGCTAGAGGCATCAAGTCTTACAACATCTGTCACAGAACTGTCTTCCAAGAGAGGGAGCAGTGCATCCAATTTCCTTGCCTTATTACCATTCACCAAAGGATGCAGCAAATCATCTCTTACAACATAAAATGAAGGTTCTTGTCGGTATTTTCCCGTCACGTGATCACCCAAAGATGGTTGTGGATTATTCAGAAAGGAAAGATTCCAAAGATTTTCACCTCCCAGCTGAAGACCATCTTTTGATATCGTTATTTGGTTAATTTTTGTATCTGGGCTTCTCAATGCCCATTTCCTCTTAAGTAATTTCGACACAAACTCCTCCTTAGGAAAATTGGATTTCAAAGCTTCCTGAAAACAAATCCAGGCATTATTCAAGATTCTTCAACCCTGAAGTTTCATGCCTCACCGAAATACATCAGTTATCTGTATGTTAAAGCAAAATGTAAACCAATTTCACCAAAATAATCAGAGATTTAACAGAATATCATGAAGTTATCTGGTCAAGACGTCCACTGAAGCTACAGTTCTGTGAGACAGACAGTTTTACTCTATTTCTACATAAACCAATCAACTATGGTTCAATCTCAAATTAGCTCGTGAGCTATACGAACCATCAGTATTCATGCCGCTCTATTTGGGTTCATTTATTTAAAATATTCATCATAAATTACACTAATTTTATGCTGACCATTAACTCGCCAATCTTCCTCCTTTATCAGGAGTTTGGAACTGGCAATACTTTGCGAAACTCATATAGACTGTTTATTCAAGATTCCTCAACCCTGAATTCTCATGACTCATAGAAATACATCAATTATCTAGAAATTAAGCAAAATGTAAACCAAGAGTCCAAGAAATATTGGTGAATTTGTAGAAAAATCATGACGCAAATCAGTTAGTATTTGACAAAGAACTCGGCTACTTAATAAACAGTGACCGGAATCAAAGTTCTCAAAATAATTTCAACCAGTAATATAATGTAGACCAAATAACTTATGCTACATCTTATAAAATATGTGAGACTGAGTTCATGGTGAACTACATTAACATTCTAGGCAAATAGTGTTAAAGTGAAAATCAATCCAATATCTAGCTCAAAACTAGTCTCAAGTACTATTAACACTATTGGAATATGTTTCTTAGTTAAAAGCTTTTATAGTTCTTAACACAGTTGTACTCTAATTTCGCAATATAACAAAGAAAAAGTTTGAATCTTTATATCCAGAATGGGGTAAAGAGGACAAAATAGCAAAGCTTTAGACCACTTGGAGATTACCCACAATGAAATCTGAATGTAAATGATGAAACTATGTGCTGCTGCAATCAGAGGCAGATTCAGGATTTAAACTTTATGGGTTCAACTTTTAAGGTTTTTATTGTTGAACCTATTATATTTTTAAAGTTATGGGTTCAACTCGCTATTGCAATTTTAGTGAATTTTTACACCAAATTTATACTCCGCATCGAAAGTACTGGGTTCAGATGAACCCGGTACTATAACACTACATACGCCTTTGGCTGCAATTGAAACTTTGTGCTTTTCAACTGAAATATGTAAGACTGAATCATGGTGCAGTAGGTGAATATTTCAAGATCAAAACTTATTAAGGTGGACATCAATCCTTAAGAACTATCAACACTATTGGAACATATTTGTTAAATAAAGCTTTACAGTTTTTAACATAGTTTTTTTAAGGTGGTGTTCGGGCAAGCTTGTGCGCACTCTACTATTCCACGAATACCTGCTACCTCCCACTAGCACAATTATCGAGTAACTCTAGGCAAACGGCCTAGCTGGTAAACTTAATACAATTGTACTCTAATTTCTACATAACCAAGAAAAAGTGAACCTTATATCAACTTATCAAGAACTGTATTGGAATACATTTGCACGCAAGCTTGCCCGTACAACAACAACAACAACTCAGTGTATTCCCACAAGTGGAATCTGGAGAGGGTAGGATGTACGCAGCCTTACCCCATCCCGGAAGGGCAGAGAGACTGTTTTCGGTAGACCCTCGGCTAGAGAAAAGATGGAAGAAGCACTGATAGCAAGTAATAACAATACAAGATACTTAGAAAACTAAATCCAAGATAGCAAAAGAGAAGATGAAAGAAGTACTGATAGCAAGTAATAATAGTGCAGGATATGTAGTGATAGCAAACTAAGAGAGTACTGATGGCTGGCAAGTAATAACAGTAGATACCATACCAACACTAATACTATTGCACTAAGGAAGACAACCAGAAACGCTCGACTACCTATTAACTTTCTACCCTAATTCTCAACCCTCACGCCCTCCTATCAAGGGTCATGTCCTTAGTTAGGTCAAGCTGCGCCATGTCCTGCCTGATCACCTCTCCCAACACTTTTTGGCAAGCTTGTCCGTACACCACCTTAAAAAAACTGTGTTAAAAATTGTAAAGCTTTAATTAACAAATATGTTCTAGCTATTCCATTGGATAGCTGCTACCTCACACCAGCACAGACATCAAGTAACTCTATCTACCAAAGCTTAGGCAAATGGCATAGCGGGTAAATTTAAGGCAAGAAAAAGTTTGAATCTTTACATCAATAATGGGGTAAAGAGGAAAAAAGGCAAACCTTGAGACCATTTGGAGATGACCCATAATGAAGTCTGAATGTAAAAGATGAAACCATGGCATTTCTTGGCTGCTGCAACTGAAACTTTGTGGTTTTCAGCATTTTTTCGGGGTTGCTGTTCAATTTTCAAGAATCATCTGTTTCTGCTTGCAAATTTCCATGGAAGTAACGCGTTGTTTGGATGGTTGTTTCCGGTTGTATTGTATTGTATTGTTACCCCAGATACAATGTTTGTTTTGATTGTTAATATAAAATTGATTGTACCGTATTGTTAAATCTATTGTTCCGGAACAACGAAAACTCTCATTTTATGAAACAACCAAATCGGTGTGGTGGGATTGTTCCGTATTTTTCTTTCCAATTATGCCCACACTTATTATTCTATATTTCATTTTTATCCTTTACCCTATTATTTATATTATATTCACCAAACTAATAAGTACTTTGTCTCCATCTTCTTTCTGCCGTGTAACTAGTCAACGACGTATCGTCTCTTTCCAACAAAATTTTTACAGGTTAATTTTCATCTCTTTTCTTCCTGTTGTTACCCCAGGATTAATTTTCATCTCTTTTAGTTTTCAGTAGAAAGGTTAGTTTTCTTCCGTGCAACTAGTCATCTCTTTTAACTAATTTCACTGTTGCTATTGTGTGTCATGTGCTTTTTGCTCATTGTTATTATGTACCATTATTGTTGGTTTTAGCTAGATACTTTTGGCTTTTAATTTTAGTTTACTGAAAATTTGGGGGCAGGGAACCACAGACGATGCTGGTTTTGATTCACTTTGTTGAATCTTTTCAGAAATTTAAGATTATTTGGGACAAATGATTGAGCAAAAATAGGGCAGGGAATTTTCCTCTAAATAATAAATGGAGAATGTTATTCACATGAATGCATGATTTAGTATGTTCTTACATTTGTTTTTTCTATATGTATACCTTATTTAAAATAACTGAGGGTATTTTAGTAAACTTAGCAGTACAGTACAGTCAAACCAAACAATAAAGATGTTATTTAACAACAGCAAATGATACAGTCTATCCAAACGTTGTATCCATCAAGACGATATAATACAGTAAAGTACAGTACAATACAATACAATACATTATAAAACGATGGGAAACAATGATCCAAACACAGTGTAATATTGCCATTTTCTCCGCGAGAGCTATATTTGGGCTGTTTTACCATATAGTTTACCGTTTGCACATCTTATCCGGCAAGGCATATCTTTTTTAGGAAAATTATCAAAGTGGTCCTTAATGCATTGGGGTTGTTTATTTTGGTCCTTAATATTCCCGTTTCATAAATGTAGTCCTTCATTTATGTAAGTAAATCTACATTTAGTCCAAAATACTAAATCTAACAAATTTTAAGTTGGAAACATAGCATTTAAGAGAATTCCCATCATTTCAATAGTGACTTGTAATTCGATTCCGTCAAATCTTTTTTCATTCTATTGAACAAATTTAGCATTTTAAAGAAAAAAGAAAAAAAATTAGAATATTGTCAAATGTAATAAGCGGGATATTCAAAATTGTTATGTGACGAGAATAATGATTATCATATGGCAACAATAAAATTAAGTGACATTTCAAAACTATGAAACGAAGTAGCACGTATTTATGTCTTCACAAGTCACAACAAAGTACTTTTGTTAAATTGGCAAGAAAACTCGGAAGGTAATATTGGCGATAAACACTTTTTCTTTATAACACAAATTTGGAGTAGCAAAAAAAATCACAAATTATTATTGGTAATAAAAATTAACTTAGCACCTATAGTGATATGAGCTATGAAAGAATCCATCTCCGTCCAAAAATTCCCTCCATCTATCGTGGACCGTCTAAATTTTTTAGCTAATTTTGTCGCGCCCTCATCCTAACCTCGTTTCCTTCGAACAAAATCATTAAATTTTTTACAACAGTTGTCGATGTAATTAGCCGATTTTCAATCCCTTCGTCACCAGTACCGCAATTCTTGGATGGTCAATAAGCATAGGCCATGCAGCTAGTGAAACTCCCATAGTAATGCTCTTAGAGGCGGATCCACGATTTTAGTTCTGTGGGTTCAACATTTATTATTTTTGGCGTTAAACCTATTATATTTTTAAAGTTATGTGTTCGTATCTACTAATTATTGTAGTTTTAATAGATTTTTGCCCATAAATTTATAGTACTGCATATAAAAGGTATTGGGTTCAGATGAACCCGTTGTCCAAAGGCCGCATCCGCTGTCACCATTTCATATCATCCGGGGAAGGCCAATGTGGTGGCCGATGCTTTGAGTAGGAAGTCAGTCAGTATGGGCAGTCTTGTTTATATTCCGGTCAGTTAGAGGCCGCTTGCTTTGGATGTTCAGGCTTTGGCCAATCGATTTGTGAGGTTGGATATTTCTGAGCCTAGCCGAGTATTAGCTTGCACGGTCGCTCGTTCTCATTATTGGAGCGTATCCGTGATCGGCAGTTTGATGATCCCCATTTGTGTGTCCTTAGAGACACGATGCAGCGAGGAGGTGCCAAGCAGGTTACATTGGATGCTGATGGAGTCTTGAGATTGCAGGGGCGAGTTTGTGTGCCCAATGTGGATGGACTTCGGGAGTTGATCTTAGAGGAGGCCCATAGTTCCCGGCATCCGGGCGCCGTGAAGATGTATCAGGATTTGCGGCAGCATTATTATGCTCTCTAAGACGAAATTCCATCTACAATAACTCAAGAAGCCTCCGGTTGATGATCGCCCCAAGATTTCCAATTGGGGCGCCCAATCTTTCGCCACAACTCCTCTTCCTTCAACTCTCTCTTCATAACCTTGAGGAATTTGGACTTCTTGTTCCTCTTCTCTTAATAATAAAGCATCCCTTACTACCCAAATGAAATTTTGTTGACTATTTTCCAACCCTATAGCCATATCTTTGATTTGGTCATTAGATAAGGAAGTTGTTGTCCCAAATGAAACTATTATTACCGAATTTGGTTCTTGTATGTAGGAATGGCAGGCGGTGCGGGACGGTGCGAGTGCGGGGCGGATTCTGTCTGAACCCGCGCAATTTAAACCCGCTCCGCCCCGCAATGCATAGGATTTAAACCCGCATTCACCCGCCCTGCACTCCACCCGCGTTCATCCGCCCCGTCCCACCCCTTTTTTTTTTTTTAATAAAAATTCTTTCTTTTTTAGAAAGCTAGACTTAAATCTGATTTTTTACACTATTACTGCATATAATTAAAATGCACTTTAATATCTACTAAAATTATTTTTTCTTTAATTGAATAATTTAACTTATATACACTAACAGTATAAACGAATTTCTACATTAATTTTTCCTTAAGTATACTTGCTTTATTTTTTAGGTTATCATAGATGATGATTACTGTAAATATTTTTAAATCACCTAATAGTGTAACAACGTCAGTGTATAAAATTTACACTCCAAATTAATATGGAAACGGAATGTGAATAGACATACTTTTTCGAATATTAATTTAGTTTGGGAATAGAAAAAAATGAAAAGAGGCGCCGGTTATGAACAGAATATGTGATTCTAAAATCCTGCCTAATCGAATAATCGATGTGTGACACTACAGACTCTCTTTATTATTTAGCCTTTTAAAATTAAATCCCCACCCGCGCCCCGCTTCGCCCCGCGTTATTTTTTTAATTTAAAAATTAAACCCGCCCCGCCCAGCCCCGCAACCGCAAAATCTCAAACCCGCACCGCCCCGCTAACGTTCAAACCCGTCTAGCCATTTCGAACACATGTGACGACGATTAACGTTTTGATCATTAATCGTTGTGATTGGATGTAATTGGCCAATAGCCCATTGATTGCCTTTTCTTAGTAACCTATTGAACTTTGCAAGTAAGGTCCCTCAACAACCTTGCATGTAGAGTACAGATTTCTAGAGCAAAAAACCGTTAACCCTATCTTTCTGTGTGCAGGTGCTAGAAGGTTATACGCTTAACCTCCATAATCCAGCACAACATATTATGCTGAAATTTTTTGTGTTTCAGTAAAATAGCTATTTTTTAATGACTTTGTAAACACTGATTATTTTTCAATTATCAATCCTAAAACTGGCTAGCCCGTGCTATTTAACTGTCTTTTCTTAGTAACCTAAACCTATTGAACTTTGAACATCATGATAAGGTCCCTCGACAACCTGACAAGTGGAGTATAGATATCCGGAGAAAAAAGTGTTAACTCTATCTTGCATTAAAGTAAAATCAATAAACTCATGTATGAAAAAATAACCATTAGGGAGTAGAAGTCTACCAATAAATTTCCCAACAAATGTAGGGAGATGGAATCGTCTCATTGCCTCTTCCAAATGCATGGAGCAAATCATGAAAGCAGAGGAGACATTACAACAATAGGCTTCGGCATTTGGTATAGAAACTATGTCCTGCACATCACTAGCCATTAGCGAGTCGTAAATGACCAACGCCCTCTTGGGATCGAAATAACAAAGTGTCATGCGGAGACTAACAAATCAAACCTTAAATAACGATAAATCGGACAATAAAGTAAATATACTAAAAGATGCTATTATATTTTTCTCCGAAGGAGAGATACAATAAGGGACTCATAAAGTATTGGTAGTATGAATTGTGACTCGGTTTGATCATGAGACGCCGGATTTTGAAATTCTTGGAAATGGATGTTAGAAACGGTGAAAGGATCCCATCCACGAACACGAAGTTTAACTTGCTTAATTTTGTCACTATAGCCAAGATAATAGAGCGGAAAATTGTAGGTAGAAAGAATGTGAGAGAGGTACAGGAGCGGATATAGAAAAGGTACCATGACAACGACAACATCTCCTTCTTCCATAATGGCATTTTGGCTATGGTGTAATGAAGAAGCAACATTATTGGCCATTTCATGAAAGTTTGGTATAGTAATAACTTGACGAATATTACTATGTCTTTCTTTGTAATATCTTGACGAAAGTTTCTATGTTTTTAAATTGATGGATGTATGAGTCAAAATTAGACCAGAGAAACTCGGCACGCGAAGACATAAGGCCAAGGTCGGACAGGTCAAGGTCGGACCGTCACCAATAAAGCCAAGGTCGGACCGTCATCAGTAAAGCTGAGGTCGGACCGTCATCAATAAAGCCGAGGTCGGACAGTGATGAAACAACTAGTCTGCTTTGGAATCCTCAAAAGGAATATTCTACCGAATATTCTCTCTAATTGTACCTTTTCTTTTAATATTT